TATGGTTACTTGCTGGATAATTTTACATCTAAGTTTTAAGTATTTATCATATTATTTTGTTACGCGTATTATATATATATATATATAATATTATTTATTTACAACAATAATGTTATTTACAATAACATTATATATATATATATATATATATATATATATATAGCATAATGTTGTTGACATTTTTACCTAAATAATATCTAAAAATGATGTTGTACTTACTATATAGAACAGCGAGTGCTTATCAGAACAGCGTGGGATGTTTGTCTCTTCATCGTACCGCAGCTTGTTTTGATCATTATAACACGACCAAGTACTTTTACTGACTTTTAGTGAATATACACTAATTTTTGCAGCGTAAAATCACTAGTAGTTTACGTTTTCTACTGATAACAACTAAGATAGTTAATATACATGTTACTTGTATTTAAAAAATTTGTTTATATACAAAGATATGGAACTTATGTACATAAAATTCAATAGAAAGTATGTTTCTTGAACTCTTTATTTTGATAAATTGCTAAACAAATTACAGTTTTATAACTAATTAACTTCCATATATTAATATTAGAAATATATTAGGAATTAGAAATGTATATTAATTCTCTTACATAAAAGAAATTACTTAACATAAGTGACAACGTTGAGAATTCAGATCGTAATAAAAAAAAATAATGAAGATTCTATGATTTTAGAACATAAAAATCTTTAAAAACTTTAGTATTTAAAATTATTCAATATCAGAAAACATATTGATTAAAGAAAAATAATTTTGTTTATCATGTTAATCAAGAATCTTACATAAGTTGGGTAATATAAGAAAAAAATATAATAAAAAAATACTATATTATGAGCTTCAAAACTTCTGAGGCATTTAAATGGCTTGCGGATTCATCTCTTCGGGATCTTTTTGTTGTCTGTTAAGCCTTTGACCACCTTGGCGAAACCATTCTTTTGTGATATCTTCAAACTCTTTGTTTGTGAATTGATGTTGAACCAAAATTGTTGCTGAATGAATTAAATGTAAATTAAATTTTATATTTTGTAAATATAAAAATATATTTTACTTTGTAAATATAAAAAAATATATATTTTACCTTGTATTGCCATTAAAATAGAGTTTAAGCTATTGATTTTAAAATGATTACGTAATCCTTTCCAGGACGATTGTTTAGCAACTTCATTGGAAAATATAGTTCGATATATACGAATTAAATTTTCCTTAGCGGATCTTCCGCCTATGCGAGATATGCACAGCATCTTTAGAAATATAACGTAACGTTAATATAATTTCTATCATTTTATTTAGATAAAAATTACATTTAAGTAACTAAATTCCTAATTAAACTTACAAATTTGTTGTACTCATCTGCATTTTGTGATAAACGGTTTTCAAAAGCTGTGACTTCATCAATACTTTTAAGCGGAAGAGATTGTTGCATATTTAATATATCCAAATCAGCAGGTGCTTCAGGCTTATGTTGATTAATTTGTTTTTCTACTTCTTTTAAACGAGCCTCCAGATCTTGTATTCGTACTGAAACATTAGCTAGAGCCGTATATACTCTTTGGAAATTTTCTAAAAAATTATAAGTAATATTGAGTAAACAGTGAGATAATAAGATTATAAGGCAAACAATAAACACCATACCTTCCATTTTATTGGACATTTCTATCATTAAGTTATGTAATTCCTGTATGCCTAGAAACATAAAAGAGGTATTAGAATAATCACAATAACCATTAATAAGAACTATAATTTTTAATAAAAAATGCTTTATTATAGAGATAATACAAGTAAATAGAATAAATAAACTAAAATGAACTATTACTTTTGTTCGATACTAAAGTTCCTTCAAGGATGTCAAAATCCACATTGTCAGTTGAGAAATTCAAAACATTTGAGAGTTTGTTGACTGAGACATCTTTATTTGTAAGATCTGGCTGGTTTAGTATAACTGAGACATCTTCATTTGTAAGAGCTGACTGATTTGGTATAACTGAGACATTTTTATCTGTAAGATTTGGCGGATTTGGTATAACTGATGCTAAATCAGAATCAGTATCAGACTCAGAAGCAATAGGTTTTTGCAACTGTTTTCTGCATGACGTACGTGACTTCTTCTTTATTTCATTTATATTATTATCATCGCTTGACGAATAGTTCGTTGCCTTCTGTCTAGCTTGATCTAATGAATCTTGATTGGGACAAAACCGCAATTTACACAAGTTACATTATTTTTTTAAAATATTTAAAAACAACTACATAAATTTTGAAGTAAAATCTAAATTACCATAATATCCATGAAATTGAATGGGATAAAATGACCACTTAGGATCATTAATAACAGGAGGAACTTGTTTTACGATAAATGTATTTATATTTTTTACTGATGGCCACCAGCATTCTGTCAAATTAAAGCGAAGCCATAAAGATGGAACCTCTGATACGATTTCCTCTTCATCATTTCCATCGCTTGAAAAAGTCACGACAGCGAAATCTTTTGCCATTATTAATAATCTGTAAAAAAGCAAAGTTTGTTAAATAATTTATCATCGTTTTTAATTCTAAATTCTTTTACTAATATTAGTACTCGCCATAAACATATTTCCTGTTGGTGCAGTAAAGGCAATACCACAACTTCTTCGTCATATAAAGGTAATTTTACGCATTTTGATTTAATATCAGATAATGGAACAGTAATTAGCTCATATTGTAACTCATTAATTTGTTTAATTCCAATATTTAAAGAGTCGCATGGACTGTGAAAAAATGATTTAACATTCGAATACTTTTTACCAATAACGTAAATCTGTTCACTTCTTAAATAAATTTTTGTAAGTGAAATCGTTGTACCATCTAACAAAGAACAACAGTTATCAGCAGTTTTTGTACTAAGATAGAAACCTTTGCATTGAACCGATTTTATTATCTTTTTGCCATTGACGTTTTTAAAGCACAATTTTGGATAAATCTTTTCTACATTTGTCATATTTAAATTATCCTCTTCTATACAACGATTAACTAATTGTTGTAATGGTCGACTTGAAGATCTAACTTTTGATTTAATTTTTTGCATGTAATTTTCGAACTTAAACGCGCTAAATTCATCTAATGGCCCCCATAATTTTACATAGTCGCATAGATGAACTAAATTATGCACGTTATATGATATATGTTGATGACCATATAATGTACCGTAATTTTCAACAAAATATACTAGTAAACTGTGTGCATAATCAAGCAGTTGTACGCAATATTCTTTGCTACATAAGATTCTAATTGCTACACTCAAGCTTAAAAAATAAACGTATTTATCGCGTGATAATGTCTTAAAAAAAATTACTGGTCCAGTATATAATAATAATTGCCTTAATTCAGTGGCTTTAAACCGATCGACCTCATCTAGTTTTCTTGGCTTTCTAGCAAATTCTTTAGGTAAGAATAATGACATGGATAACAAAGTAGTTGAAATAAGAGCTATCAGATTTGCAGCCATACGAACATTATGTTTACCTTTAATCCAAAACTGCAACAACCGTTTCATTATTCCTAACAGTACAAGATGCATGTAGTCTATAGGAAATTGGGTAACCATTCTAATGTTTAAATCTTCAAGAATAGAAGTCATTTTATGATGTTCTTCTTGTTGTTTTAATTTAAACGATTCATTTGATCTTAGGATTGCTTTAATTTCTGGGTACGTTACTCTATTTTCTATGTAATCTCCCTCTTGAATGCAATTACCGCATCCAAAATACGCATTATGTCCCTTAATTCCTTTGATAAACGATTTTGCGGGAGCATCGCAGATAAATACGTTCACTTTTACGGTTATTTTTTTGTCATACTGTGTAATACCAGTTCGAAAAATTTCAAGACAATCATCCTTGAAATATTTCAGAAAAGTATTGCAACATTTTGGCTTTTGAAAACCATGATAGACACCGACTATAAATGGTTCGGTGTAAAAATCTGCAACTATACTAGCTAAAATAGGCCAAAATTGACTGCCAGAAGATTTTGTTAAAGGAAGACCATCTATATTCACATTAATATTTATTTGCGATGGACAAGTATTTCGGCAATAATGTTTGCAAATAGATTTTTTTAAACTATTACTTAAACCTACATGATAATAGTTTCCTGGTGTCATTTCAATAATGTCTACTTGTCTGGGAGTTTGTAACAAAGTTCGAGCATCAATAGGAAGATCATGGCCGTATTTTACTAGAACTTTTAATAAACTACTTATAGTAGAATGATTTACACGATTTTCAATAGCCCATAATCGGATGTCATTTACAATTTCTGTTTTATTAAAAAACTCATCGTCTGAACTACTTGATGGAAGACTATCTTTATCAGTATTAATTCCTGAATGTATAGACATTAAATCATCATTGTTTTCAATAAACTTATCAGTGTTAATTCCATTGGAATTATCAAAATCAATTTTTCTTGATAAATTTTGCTGCTGAGGTAATTGTTCAATGTTATCTGGTCCATTTGATCCACTTACAATGTCATTTTGAACTTCTGAACTATTTGAGTCAACAGTCATTTGGGAAACATTATAGAGTTCCTTTACAAAAATTCGTCTCCGCTGTCTTGGCGTTAAAAAAGTAATGTCTAATCTTAATTTTGATTTAGACATAATATAATTTTATGAAATAACACGAAGAAATGGAAAGCTAGATTGCGATTATATGCACGAAGATTTGGGTTTGCGTTTAGGCTTATGTTATGGTTATATTCTCCTTTTCCGCTGAATATGTATTTAGGAAAGCTGGAATATATATTTATTATCTGGAGAATAAAAAATATTTTGATAAATAAAAGAGGTTCTTAAGGGAAAGATCTGCAGTTATGTTAAATACAAACTAATCCAAAAATTAAATTATTTACATTAATCTTATATTAAGATTTACCATTACAATTACTATATAGAAAAAAGATAATAAACCGGTATGTAATAAATATTCAATTTAATGCAAAATTAAATATTGTAATCTGAAGAAAACTACAGAAAAAAACTGTAATTATTAGGAGACAATAAAATGCGATGTAAATTTGCACTCGAAATGTCTAAGCTTCTAATGATTCAGAAAAGCGGTGCGAATAAGTTTTTTGTTTCTTCTCATTATCATAATTGCCTAACAGATGTTGTAAAAAGACATGAGAAACATAGGCCGCTTTCCGATATTCACTGCCAGTACCGAAAATTTATAGTGTGCGTAACATAAACTATAGATTTTTATTATTGGCAGTGAATATCGGAACGCAGCCATGGTATTGCATAAAATAAATTAAACTCACTGCCAAATATAGAAACAATGTAGTGTAAAACGAGTACGTCGCCAGTACGTCGTGGGGTGTGCCCTTTATGTTCACATTCACTGCATAGAAACAATAAGACAAATTTAACTTCACAATTGATTTTTTACCGCAAAATAACTTTTCACTTATAACGTTTTTGATTTGTTGACTCGACCCGACTCGGATCAGATCAAAAGTTTGGGTTAAAACTCGATGACTTTAAACTATGAAGGCAGAAAGCGTTTCTTAACCTCCATGAAAGAAATTCTTAGCATTATCGCAGCATTAAGTATTTCATTATCATTTTTCCGAACTTTTGAACCCAAGTCGGAGCGAGTCAACAAGTCAGAAACACTATTAATTAATTAATGCAGTTTTAACCTCATACTTACCAAGATTTTTACACTATCTATACACTGTTGTGTCAAAAAATCACGGTCGCGCGAAAAAGCGCGGGCGATTATCGTTTCCGTGGATTCCGCCATATTAAAAGCTGAAGCCAGAGCTGCGGTCCGATTCACACTCACAGCGCTGTAAGCATCATTCTGTCTTTGTTGCACATCGAATATCAACCGAAGATAGAGTAATATGCTTTCAGCGCTGTGAGCATGAATCGGACCGCAGAATTGGTGATCGGTACCACGGTCTTACATATTTTGATTGCGCGCTTGCGCATACTTAAGCCAATTAACGGAATTAATTATCCAGTAAAGTATAAGGGCGTATTCATATGAACTTATATAACCACATAAAGCACAGAAAAATTTATCGCGCATCTTGTATAAAAAAATATGAACAATATGGGCCGATATCACAGTCTCCGATTAACGTGATCCTTCGATTAAACTCACTCTTCGTCTCTTTCTAGGGGGACAGTTATAAAGAGATGCAGAGTGAATTTAATCGGAGGATCACGTTAATCGGAGACTGTGATAACGGCCCTATGCTCAGCAAACACTAAGTAACATGCTACATCATACATGCAATTAAGTTATAATTTCTTACTCAACAATATAAATGCAATACATATGTGTAATAATATGTGCAATAAATATTATAACAAATATATGTATAATTTCTATGATTGCATCATCGCGGAATTAAAATGTTTTATCTCTTATAAGTAATAATTATGATATTTATAATTAAATAACATATATACTAGAACTCTTTATTATATGTTTATTATTATATATATTATTTATACATATACATAATTGAGGCTATTGATAAAAAAAGAGCACATAAGCCTAATGAACCCTTTTTCTATCAATAACTTTAATTACATTTTTTGAGTCCAGTTTCTTTTATAGAGTACTTAATGACGTTAATGAAATTATACAAATATTATTAAAAGAATATTTTAATATTTAAAAAATGTTTAAAAATGTCCCAGATACGTTTTTGCAATAACATATATATTACATGCGCATATGTCATATTTTCAAAATGTTCGAGAACGTTAACAAAGTTTATATATTTATTTTGTCTTTAAAGTGACATCGAAGTTTCGTTATTATAGTTATGTAACGGTTACAAAGTTTTTACAGAACGTACATTGACGTCGACAAAATCATTTTAATATTACATGTTTAACATGACGTGGCAATTATGTCATTAGAGTTATGTAACATTTATGCAGATTTTAGAGTATGCACATTGACATCGACAAAATCATGTTAATGTTACATGTTTAACATGACGTGACAGTTATGTCGTTAGAGTTATGTAACATTTATGCAGATTTTAGAGTATGCACATTTACATTTACCAAATTACATAAATGTTACATAACAAAATAACGTCAAAATTTTATAACTATCCTAAATAGCAATAACAGATTTATTACGTCAATGACATAACTGATACGTCATAGTTCGGTTATGCTGATTTGTAACATATACATATAGTATATTATGTAATTGTTACGAAAATAATCCTTGTGTGTTTACTGGGTTAGTTATATATATATATATATATATATATATATATATATATATATATATATACCGGGTGTCTGAGATCACCCGCCCACCCCTTTTCTTTCAAAAACTAAGCATTTTAGAGAAAAACGTTCCAGACAAAAATTGTATGGTTTTGAGGGGAACATAAGATGGTGTCATTAATTTGACCTTGGGTGGCATCGTTAAGGACAGGTCAAGGACACCTTCAGTTTCTTAAATGGAACCCCCTATTTTGTATTGCATATTCTTATAGCTTATGTCGAGAGCTTTCCAAAACACTATAATTAAGTATTCTTTAGAGACGGTGGAATACTAGTGCAAGTTGAAATTGAGTTGTTTTTGTACTTTAAGATATGATATTACGTTAAGATGATATTATAGTATTCCCCCCAAACTCATAAAAACGATACTGTTTTTAGTTTTGACGTGTCTAATAATAGCTGCGCAATGACTTACATTTTAACATGTAAAAATCTTGAAATTTTTAAAAACTAAAGAAATAAATCAGAATATTATTTTAAAATAAGCAATTTATATTTGTATAGTTACATGTATTTTTGTATAGTTACATGTATAGTTACATGTATTTTTATTATTCAGATTACGTTATAAAATAGATATGTTATTAGTGCAATATGATGTTTCACTGAACCACACTAAACTTGCACTATTATTGCACTAGCGCAGTTTTCATTGAAACCTAGTACAGCGCTGGTGCTGCACTAGTTTTCCAAGTAAAAATCGCTATAACTGTACAGAATTTTCAAAAAAAGATAAAATACAAGACAAGACATACAGACGTATATTATACTATATGATAGAAAAGAACAGAAAAAGGTATAACAACGATGACAATGACGTTTTTAAATTGATATTTCAACATATAAACTTTATATCGTAATACCTTTGCTCCTAGAGCATGTAGAGAAAAAATAAGGATATTTTTCAAATTCAAATCAAACACAAGCTATCGATTAAGTATTGTGAGAATTCAATCGGTCCAGCTGTTTCTAAGATCCAATAACCTAGGTACTCGCAATTGGCTCACGTATAGATACGTATAGATACGCGTCATGCTCCGCATTTACTTGACGAAAAACACTACTGTGTTTCTTGATGAAGAAATCGTACTATTTGATAACGTTTTATTTAAATCATAAACTTGTGTAATTGAAAAATATATTAAACGTTAAAAGACATTCTTTATGGATGTTTTCCGTTTTTCGTTTCCGGTTATGGCGAGAAAAATGGAATAATGTAAAAAACAGAGAAAGTAAAAGAGGTGAGGGAAAGGAACATATGTACATTCCTATGGATTAATGAGGAAATTAATTTTTACTCCCTACTGCTATCAACCGAACGAGGGAGTATGCATTTTACCGAGGACAGTTCGTTGTTATAGTTTTTTTATTTATAGTTATAAAAATTTTTAGAATGCCTAAGTAATCTAAGAATATCTAAAAGGTATTTGTGTATTAATCTCTCTCTCTCTCTCCCTCTCCTCAAAATGTTTTTACTTGTATTACTATGTTTACTAATCTTATCGTGTGTCTCAAAATGTTCAAAAACATCGTTTTTGTTAAAAATACTTCTGAGGTTTTATTGTTAGTTATATACCTAAATAAAACAAAAATCAATAGATATCCATTTAAGAATGTTGTATTGATATTTTTATTTGAAGGATCCCGTTTGACTATGTTGTAATTGCCAGATTCCTGATTGACCACGTTGCAATTGCCCACAAATGAACACGTTGCCAATGAGCATCGTTGCGATTGATCACGCATTACGGTTGGCCGTGCATTGTAATTCGCTACGCATTGCAATAAGTACAGTGCGATTGATCCTGCCTTTTAATATAAATCTTAAAATATGTGATCGGGGAGCCACTCCGTGATCCATCTTCTGTAGTTTAAAAAGTATTTGAATTACAATTTACTTGGATATTACTTGGATTAATTGGAAACGCAGGTCCATTCCACATTGGTTTGCAGTGCGAAACAAGATTTATCATTGTATTTTTTCATGTAGGTTTTAATTTTTCGCGCAAAACGATGTCCATACCATACTTTCTGCACCTAGCAATATCAATGTTACAATTATATGTATCAATTATATATATATTTCATATTTCGCGCACTATTTCAATCAAAATGCATGCTTGTATCACTTTACTTCGTTGATATGATAGATTTTGTTTACCTTTAATTACCTATATGATGTTTTAAAATTTAATTACTTTTTAGAGCTGAACGGGGATTGTTTCGCCCCGGAGGCGAGATTTGCGAAATTAGCGCGTTTGCTCGAAGGACCAGAGGAGGGTAGTTAAAATCCTCTCACGACTAATGATAAACAAATGCAAGATGCGTATGCAGCAAATCAGTCGGAAAGCGAAAAGCGACTCACCGGGATGCGCCGGTCGCCTTGGTTCCGCCGGGCTTTGTCCTGTCCGGGCCTCGTGGCCGCTCAGGTGTCCTCGTCTGATTCCGCATGCAAAACGTAAAGCAAGGCAGGCACGTGCAAGCAAGCGAGAGCAAAAGCAGTAGCGAGCGTAGGCGAGAAGTCGTGATCATGCGGCCGGCGCTCCTCAAGATCCCTTCGTATGCGTGCCGTAAGAGGGCTGGCCAAAAATGTGTGTGTGCCGTACGACAGCTGGACTATCAATGTGAATCCTCTCCGCGGTCCTGTAATGTGCCGCGGGCGAGTAGTTGCTCCCTTTTTGGGGGGAGCGGATGCTGTCGGCGGATGAGCGATGGCAGCACCGATAGGTGAGTCGCATAATTCTACTGCTCGCGATCTGCCGACGTTTCACGCAAAATTACAAAGAAACAATAACTAAACTAGTGACAATTTTGTAACGCTTATTTACAACTATATACAAGGCGATACGCCGAACATACGCAGCAACTCTGGGTGCTTAGCTTCGTATGAGATGGCGGAATGAGTCAGTCTGCCGCCCACCCTGAGGACTCCGCGAACGTCCAAGAAGGGGGCGAGCTTTCGCAGAGGTTTGGAGCAACTCTGATTACGTCTTAATCTACTAATATTCTCTGCAAAACAACGCGATTGAACGAATTTGACGAAATATAATAAAGTCGAATTCGATTTGATCCACGGCGAGAATGAACGTGTTTGGTCTAGTTCTATTAACGAATCGGAGACAATATGCGAACACTCTAATGAGTTTGTCTAACGACGAAAAGCGGTCGAGAAGCGAATCGACAACCGTAATAGAATTTACGCCATCGGCAGGATTCATGGAGACGAACGCGCGAGAATTTTCTTCCTCCTCGGGAAGATTCTCAACTTCCAATGTTGTTTCTTGAGTGGGTTCGAATTCGACGAGCCACGCAGGGCCGGTCCGCCACAGCGGGTGCTCGACTAGTTTCTGGGGAAACAAGCTCCTTGAACAATCCGCGGGGTTAGATTTGGTATCGACATGTTTCCGGCAAGAGATGTCTGTGTTGGACTGGATGCGTGCGACGCGATTGCGCATGAACGTTTTCCAACGGTGCGGAGCCGAGCGTATCTACGCGAGGATAACCTCAGAATCCGACCAAGCGTATGTGTCGTCGATGGCAACTTTAGGTCGGAGAATTTTCCCGACATATTCTAACAAATCTGACAGCAGAACAGCCGCGGAAAGCTCGAGTCTCGGTAATGTGATGGCCTTGATGGGGGCCACCTTTGATTTGGTGATGAGCATACAGATCACTACACCACTCTCGGCGACGATTCTATTGTACACAATGGCTCCGTAGCCCTGCTCACTCGCGTCACAAAATCCGTGAATCTCTCGCCTGACTACGTTATCTACCGCGATAGTGCGAGGTATGCGAATGGAGGCTAACGCGGAGAACTCCGACTTGTATCTTTCCCGTCTAGAACATATCTTCAGAGGAGGCCTGTCATCCCACTCCAGTTTAAGGATCCAGAGTCGCTGGATCAGTCGCTTGGCTGCGAACGTAAGCGGTGTTAAGAACCCCAATGGATCAAAGATGCGAGCTAGTTCAGAGAGAATGGTGCGTTTGGTGCAGTCTCTGTCCAACGGGTTGACCTGAAAGCCAAAGCTGTCCGTTTGAGGATATCAACGAAGTCCGAGTACCTTGAAAAACTGATCCTCCGGTGATTCAAAGGACAGTAACAACTGGCTACGGAGTTCCGGATTAAGATCGGCTAAGACTGACGGATGGCTACTGGCCCACTTTTTGAGTTCAAAGCCGGCAGTTTTAAGTAAGGCTTGTAGCTGCCGCTGAAACTCGCGGGTCTTCTCCTCTGATTCAACGCTCGCCACCACATTGTCGACATAAATACTCTCCTCTAGGACAGCCGCGGCCAACGGGTAACTTATTTTGTCTTCAGCCGCTAACTTCAACAAGCAAGCAATCGCTAGGAACGGAGAGCATGTCAATCTGAAGATGACGGTCAACAAAAGGTAGTCCGAGATCGGGTCGTGTTCTGAGAAACGCCACAAGATTCGCTGGTAGTCACACTAACCGAGTTCGACCAAGATTTGAAGGAACATCTGCTTGACGTCCGCGGTGAGCGCCACGAAGCCGATCCGGAATCTTAATAATATCTCAACTATATCTGACTTTAGCTTAGGACCGGATCGCAGCACTTGATTCAGCGAGACGCCGTTCAGATCCTTAGCTGATGCGTCAAACACGACATGTAATTTCGTAGTTGTGCTATCTGATTTGAGTACCCCATGATGGGGTAGGTAAAAGACAGATCCGTTTACTGGGAACGGCTGCTTAATCAATCTCATATAGCCATTATCCAAATAATCCTGCATAAACTTACTATAATTCATTTTAAATTCTGGGTCTAATTTGAAGCGACGCTCAAATGCGCGAAATCGGTTCAAAGCTACTTGACGCGTGCCAACAAAACAAGGTTTATCCTTTGTGAAAAGACACTACAAAGCGACCAGAAACATCGCGACGCGTGGTCCGCCCAAATAGTTCCTCGCAACGTCTATCTTTCTGTGAATACGGCGGAGCTGTAGGGATCTCGTCTAATTGCCAAAATCGACTAAGAGATGCATTTAGAGAATCGAGAGTTAGAAACGAATGTGTAGGCTGAGATGCTTGCGTCGACACTGAGCCAACTAGAACCCAGCCAGCCAAAAATGGAATTAAAGGCGTCTGGTTCACCTTTCCTTCCTACACGACGATCGTCCCGAATCAACGAAGCAAAGATATCTGCGCCGATTAAGATGTCGACGGGACCATGGTGTAAATAGACAGGTGAAGCATTCCCGATGCTGCGCACTCGTTCAGTTTTTGAACCAATCAACGCGCGACCTTTTTTGCGAGAAAAGCAATATGGCTGCTTCCATCAATTCGTAGTCCGTTACGTCCGTTATCCGTCGCGTGCGTCTGTTGTGCGGGAAATATTTTGTGTTCAACTTTTGCGACTTTAATAAAACATACGCAGTAAGTAGTAAATATAATTAATGTTGAGAGGCATTTATATTGGTTGATATTTGCTAAATAACCCAAGTAGCAAAAAAATATTTTTCAACATTTTTAAAAACATTTTTAGTAATAAAAAAATATTTAAAAAACGTTTAAATTAATAGAACAGATCCTTTTTTTCTTACTAAAAAAGTATTTATTTTATTGATTTTTTCATTATTTACTGGCAATTTAAATTCTTATTTTTGCTGTATTTATTTTAACATTGTAAAAAAACGTTTTTTTAACATTAAAAAAAATGTGTTTTTAATTATTTTAAAAAATTAAAGAATTTATTGCGAAAAATATTACCTCAGACGCTCTTCACGAAATGAGGGAGGTTCCAGGTTCGAATCCTGGCTGTAATATTTTTCGCAATAAATTCTTTACAGTTTTTTAAAATAATTAATTCGCGTCGTATTATGTATTATGTATTATGTATTATGCGTCGTATTATGTGCGTTGTATTATGATCATCTAGGAATCATGCCGACTTGTTGCGTGAGAAATTGCAAAAATCGTTTCGGTGGAGCTACGAAAACGAAAGACATCAAGTTCTTTCCATTTCCGCAAAATCGCGAATTAAAAGAAAAATGGCTCGAAGCTTGCCACTGAGAAGAAGAAAATTTAAACATAAACAGCGGTAAATTTCAAGAATCATTTGAATTCGTATACAGTATAAAAACGTTACCTAATTTTATTCTGTTTGAATAAAATATTTATTTTTTTCGTTACATGTCTTTTTATTATTATTTAAGTAAATTTCAACCGAGGTTTCAACCCTTCTTCCTCACACTATAATTCAGAATCTACACTGTGGACGTGCGGTTAATTGACTCTAATCAAATTACGTAACCAAACTAGAACAGAATTAAAACAGAAGTTTAATAATAAATAAACTAATAAATGTAAGTTTAATTGTCATTAGTTTATTTATTTATTTAAGGTTTTATCTAAAATTTTACATGATTCACACATTTTTATTTCTTATAAGCGAACTTCACCTTAAAGTGAGCGCAACAAAATGGGTCGCCTCCTGATTGGTTCAACCGCCAAAGCTGCCGCCATTATGCGCAATGCTTCACCTTGTTTTTTACACCATGGACGGGACCAGGTCGGTGATACTGCGGATCAGCAAGCTTTAATCTCTTGAGACCGGCGTTATTTTTTTGACTACGAATTTAACGAATAATGCCGACACCTGGCGCGGCCTGGGTCAATGGCTGCCAGGGCTCTAATTTTTGACGAAATTACCTTAATTAATTGGGCGCCAGTTAGTTTTATGAGAACTAACAAACTCATATCCCGTATTTAATTCTCCTAATATTTGGTAATCGGCTAGCGATTTCAAGCTTTAATCATGAGATAACACAAGGGGAGTTCCGTCGGGAGACCCAAGGAATATTGTGGAAGTCAAAAGAAATCAGAGAGATAATCAAACGATATATGAGTGTATTGAAATAATTTGACTTACATTACAATTACGCCGCTATTCGTCACAAAACGGCCCACACAACTCGTTCACAATCATTAGACGTACGCCGTCTACAAAAGTATATAACCAATTCATATCGTTGAATCTACTCGTAACAATGATTCTTAACCGGCAAACAACTGATCGTTATACATTATCGGATTACTTTATAATTTACGCAAGACTGATCCCGCCGAAGGCCGACGGAAGAGTCGCCGAGATCTCTCGGTCGTTCCGCTACCACGCGCCCACCCCCTTCGATCCTACCAATCGTTGCGGATCGATATATTTCGTCACATGCGGCTACGCTATTGGCTCTCCGTCTCGACGGTTTACAGGGTTCGGCGCTCGTGCCGCGCGGGCAACAGAGAATGTACAGTCGGTATTTCATAAATTTTGTCGGATCGATTGTTACATCGAGCATTGATGTCGAGGGAAAGGATTTAAACATCGAGTGTCGATGTCGAGGAAAGGGTTTTAATTTTCCTGTCACATTCCCCTCTCTCGAACCTTGACATCGTAAACAAGATGTTCGGAGGATTTCGTGCGAGCTGTGTGTTTTCGTTCTGCTGCTCAACTCATAGTCACCTGAAAATCTCTCTTCCACCAACAAATTGTGGGTATGACATTTCTCATTGACTTCGACAATTTGAGGAAGGAATGCTGGTAGGTAAAGCTGGAAGTGATACATTTAATACTTTGGCGACGAATGTATTTTGGAGTCGAGGGTAACTTAGATTTTATAGCAAGAAATGCTTATTTACTAGGTGAGATAAGCTACGTAACGAAACTTAAGCGGAAAACTTATTTAACTATCGTATATTTATGTCGACGGCCTTCGCTTAAATTTAATTTGATAATAATTGACAAAATATTTAAAGCAAAATGTTTAGCGTTAGTCGTCAAAATTATCGTGAGAAGGGCGGCCTACATCCTTTTCTTATAATTCGTAAGTACCATGACGCGAATTTCTTCCCCATCTCGCATCTCTGACCTCTCCCGCATGATCTCGTCCAGAGTTTTCTTGTTGCGTGATGATCATACCGCTTGGATCGCAAAGAGGTTCCTTTCCACTGACAATTCCTTTGCTGATGATGCAGCGGGATTGGCGACAAGCGGTGCAGAGAAAAGTGCATTCTTCCGGATCAGGAATGCGCGTACGCGGTTTGGGTAGTCCGTAGGGTCATACAACTTTGCTTTGACCTTCCTTTTCAGGGCCTTTGCGCCTTTGCTGATCAAATATTAGTGGTCTTTGGGTACCAATGCTGTAGGCCCAGTTGCATAGTTAAGTCTCAGCCAGTCGACAATGTCTCCGCGTACGTTGCAGTCCGGACATTCCGGGCAATAGAGAGACAAGCTTACAGCACATCCTGGACATCGGTTGAGCGCAAGCTCATGTTCCATCCCATGTGGGTAGATGCAGTCGTCAGTATCAAATCCGTCGGCGCCACAAACCCGGCAATCCGGGGCGACAAGGCACAACAATTCGTCAACGAGTGAGAGCAAGATCTTCACTCATCGACAGCAAGCGACGCACTCCCCGCCCACGGAGGTGACAAAGGTTTGGATGTCACGATCCAATTTGGTTGACTGCATGCGCTCAACAAGAAGCTTGGCCCGTTTAATGAGGTCCATAAGCATACTCTCACCGATTATTCTGTAATTGGCGGAGCACAATGGCGTTTTCCCGCTCGCGGCACTGGGAGATTCCGAAACGCCGAGTTCCCTCAGTACTTCGTCGAAGGATGACATTTTTGCTAGCGGTAATGGCATTACAGCTATCGAAAGGGCGACCAATGTTTTAGGGTCGTCGGTTGCCTTCGACGCCCATGTTGACGACATTTGCAAGGGGTGATCTCTGCTGAGGATGCGGTTGCGTTTCACGTTTTCCGCATAGACTTTGGCAGCAGAAATCCTGGTTGGTTTTGTCAATTTGAGGCGAGGGGAAGGAAGAGCCCGGATTTTCCCGAGTAATAAACCGCAAAATCAGAGCAAGATCTAAATTAAGCGACCGCAAGTTATAGAACTTCAGGGCTCGTTGTTAATGTAGCTTCCCCGACCTCCTCCTCTGGGAGTGGCTCGTCATGACTGCCTACCGTGAAAGTCCCCGGCACGTTACACGAGTGCGTGGATCGTCACGCAGCTCCTGAGGTGATGTCACACGAGGCGTCTGAAAATTTTTCGTGTTCGTTGTCCCGTTTGGTCAAAGCTTCCTGCAACAATGCCTTGTTCCGCTGAGATTCGCGTTTGGTTAGGAGGACCTTGACCTGCTCCTCCATCTTCAATTTCCGTTGAAGCAACTCTTCCAGCGTAGTCTTGTCCCCTCCGCCATCCGTGATGCCTTTGTTATTTACAGATAAGTTTGGTCAAATTGTCTATAAAATTTCAAGAGTTACGTAAACTCCGACGAGGAACTTTCAAACCCGTTACATAGCACCTGCCGACGATTTTATCAGCTTTGTCTGCCAGTTCGACGGTCATTGGCCCGATTATTCGCTTTACAAATGCTGGGCCAAAATACCGGTGATCCGATTTAGCCGAGTACCCTCCAGCTTTATTACTCAATTTTTTATTTGGATATTAAACTTCCGCACCGATATTTACGTCAAACCGTCTCGTTCGGTTACAATTAGCCTAGTCAAGACATTTGTCAGAGTATGATTTCAACTGATTTTCAACCTGATGTCGTAATTCGTCGAATTTACTTAATTTTTTAATCCAATGTTCGACCAGGCCATCCGTTACCTCCTCATTACCGTCAACGAAACATCTCCGTTGCTTTATGTTTGCCTCTCGCGCGTAATTCAAGTAAAACGGCGTGACTCTACTATCGGC